AAGTGAGAAAGCAAGATGCTGGTCCAGGACTCAAACCACAGTTGGCCATACGGGAATACAGTGCCTTAGCCACCATGCCACCTGCTAGCCCCTTCTACCTTTCTTTCAAAGCCCAGGTTCAATATGTCCTCTTCTCTGCATTCTGTCCCTTCTCCTACCTTCTTCATTCTGGACTTCAAAATTACAGGCCTTACTCCTTTCAGCTCAATGTTAAGGGTACTTGAGTCTCATTTCCCTGTTAACCACCCTACTTTCCTGCTTGGAGTGAGGTCTGTGACTTGCCACTGTGGGGCTGCCATAATCCCTTATCGACTCTTTAAAGTTGTTTTCAGAGCCCAAGGCATGTGCTTAGGATCTCCTCTGAGATGAAAAAGTCTCAGTCACAGGAGGAATGACATTTTTTGGAAATAGTCAAGGTCACTGTACTAGTCGGGGTTCTCCAGAGAAATGGGACCAACAGGATATGTGTGCACACGCACATGAGTGCACACACTCACACACTTTAAAAGTTCGTGGAAAATAGAATGAAAACATAAAAATACAAAATACAAATTTTACTCCTCAGCATATGCTCTATCAAGTTTAAGACACTTCTATAAGCAACGATACCAGCCATTTCATCTATTCCTGGAGAACTGAGGGTCCTGGGAATTAAATCGTGTCAATGCTATCATTTTTACATTATTAGCTGAAGAAAAATGGAGTGCATTTCAAGATTTTTTTTTTTAAGATTAAGAAACAAAAAGAAGTCCAAGGAGATAAATCAGGACTGTAAGGTGAATGCCTAATGATTTCCCATAGAAATTCTTATGAAATTGCCCTTGTTTAGTGAAAGGAATGAGCAGTAACGTCTTCATGGTGGGGAAGGACCCTGGTGAAGCTTTCTCAGGCACTCTTCTCCCAAAACCTTAGCTAATTTTCTCAAAACACGCTCAGACTAAGCAAATGTTACCATTCTTTGGCTCTTCAGAAAGTCCACAAGAAAAATGCCTTGAGCATTCAAAAAAATGACCGTGGCCATGACCTTTGCTCTCAACCAGTTCACTTTTGCTTTGGCTGGACCACTTCTACCTCTTCGCAGTCATTGTTCTGACTGTGCTTTGTCTTCAGGATCACACTGGCAAAGCCATGTGTCATTTCTGTTATAATTCTTCAAAGAATTGCTTTAGGATCTTGATCTCCCTGTTTAAAATTCTTGTTGACAATTCCGCTCTTGTCTGAAGCTGATGTGGACACAACAGTTTCGGCAACCATTGAATAAAAAGTTAACTTGACTTTAATTTTTCAGTCAGAATTGTGTAAGCTGAGCCAAGGGAGATGTATATGTTGTTGGTTGTTGTTTTTGCTATTGTCAGTCCTTTTCAATTAGGACTAATTTTTTCCCTCACAACTTGATGTGGATTGTCTTCTGTTGAGTGAAACTTCATCTCTTCATGGCTTCATCTCTTGTTAAAATGAGTTATGTGTTTGTAAACTGCTGATTTCTTTCAAGTATTGTCCCCATAAACTTTTTTATTTTTTTAATTAATTTATTTTTTTTTAGAGATTTTGCTATAGGGCACATGCGCTCACCAGAAAGACAGAGAGAGACAGAGAGATAGAAAGTGAGAAAGCACCCCCTGGGGGGGATGGCCATGCATGCCGCAATCCCTTCTCCTCCATTGTCCTCTTGGGATCTTGGGCACGCATGCACACACGCCCGGCGTGAGTTTAAGCCACCAGATCCAGGATGTGAACCGTGGTCGACTAGATGAGAGTTCAGCAACATAGCCATTACGCTAACTGCTGGTCCCCCCATAAACTTTTGATAATGCACCAGTGATATCACTGTTCTTTCACCCAAACTTCCCCATAAATTTTATGTTTATTCTTCTTTTGATTTTAGCAGAATTCATGTTCTGATAGAGATTTTTTTTTCTGATTTTATCCTTCTTAGTGCCTCAAATTAAGTCCTCCTCAGACACAGTTTAACAAGCTAGTAGTTTATTTTGATGCAAAAATAAAATGAAATCCATGCATAGTATGGATTTTTTTCAAAATATGTATTTTTACGAATTTTTTTGACACCACTCAAGGAAGGAAGTAAGGAAGTGGAAGTGGGAAGTTAGAGACAAGAAAACACACACACACACACACATACAGAGAAAGAGAGAGAGAGGGAGAGAGAGACTCACAGGAATTGGTTCTATAATTTTGGAGGCTGGCAAGTCCAAATTCTATAAGGTGGGCTGACAGGCTGGAGACCCAGGAAGAACAGATATTGCAATTAAAATCCAAAGTTCAGTCTGCTACAGAATTATCTCTTGCTCAGGGGAAGTCAGGCCTTCATCTGATTGGGTGAGGTCCACCTACATTGTGGAAGGCAATTCACGTTAACCACATTTCACCAATTTAAATGTTAATCTCATCCCAAAACACTTTCACTGAAATATCCAGGATAATGCATAACTACATGTCTGGGCACCATGACCCAGTCATCTTGACACATAAAACTAATCAGCAGTCATGTCAGGAACAAATTTGATAGAGAAGGTGAAGTCCACCTTACATCTCTTCTAAACGGTTATTTCATGGAACTTCAAACTCAATCGCCAAATATGAATTATCTTTCTCACAAACTTCATTCTTCTCCTGTTTCAAGAATCTTGTTATATAGAATGTCTACCTAGTTACTAAAGTTAGAATTTTGAGGATCATTTCTATACTTTTTCTTTTTTAGATTTTTTGCCATAGGGAATGGGTACCCATTGGAGAGAGACAGAGAGGGAACATGAGAAATCATGCCCCAGGGGGATAGACATGCCACAATCCCTTCTCCTCCATTCTCCTCTTGGGATTTTTGGCACACACGCATGCCTAGCATATTCTTCAGATTGCTGGGTCCAGCAGAGTCAGCCATGTGGGATCTAACGATATAGGGCTGTAGGGCACATGCACTTGCAAGAGAGAGAGACAGAAAGTAAAAAGTCACCCCCCAGGGGGGATGGCCACTCTGCAATCACTTCTCTTCCATTCTCCTCTCAGGATTTTGGGCATGCATGCACATGTGCCCAGCATGAGTTCTAGGTCACTGGGTCCAGGACTTGAATTGTTGTCGACTATATGGGAATTCAGTGATGTAATCGTTATGCCATCTGCTGGTCCTGAAACAGGTTGTTAAGCGGTCAAGTTCTAGGGTAAGCATACCTGGGTTCAAATCAGAGCTTCCAATTTATACTGTGTAATTGTGGGCAAGTTACTTAAGCTTTCTGTGCCTTGGTTTCTCAGGTGTAGAATGGGTATATAATAATAATGCTTGCTTTGTAAAATTGAGTTGTAATGTGTAATGCCTGGTACATGCAAGCACTTGATAACTTTTATTGATGCTGACGGTATCAATGACGATGCTTGAGTGGTGCCAATGGAGACAACTTGGTTACGTGAATTGAGGAAAAATATTTGGAGAATATTAATTTATTCTCCTTCTCCTGCTTCTTCTTCTTCAAGTTCATTCATTTATTTATTTCTTCCATGAGAGAGAGCAAGGCAGAGAGACAGGGCATCTCCAACAGAGTCTTCATACCATGATCCACTCCCAGTCTCAGCTCTGCAAAATCATGCATGGGTACACACACTGGACATTCGGGGAGGTTCCCAAACCTTTCCCAAGTGGGTTCACTTGTATTACCTCTACATCACCACCTGGCCCCACTTCTTGACCAGACTTCTAACCTATCCTTTTCCAACCCCACTCCACACACCTGCCTTTAAAGAAAACCATTGCTTCCAATTTCTAAGACTTTATAGGTCCTGAGGGGTAAATGAATCTACTTTTAGGATTTCCTTCTGGAAATACTTAAGTAAATTCTGTAAATACTGTAAATATTCTACAGTGACACTGTCCAATATGGCAGTCGACTAGCCACACACAGCTATTGATCCATTTACATATGAGCGAGTAATGTTACACATTTTGAAATTATGGTATTTTGGATATATTGGACTAAATAAAAATATTATTTAAATTATTTTCTGTTCACTTGTACTTTTTTAATGTGGCTAATAGAAAAATTTAAATCACACTTAAATGTGTGATTGGCATATTTCTGCTGGAGAGTGTTGCTGAGTGTCTTAAATTTCTTTTTGACAATTCTCATCTGCTGTCATATTTTCTACCATTATCTTTAGCCTTATAGTTATACATTTTATCTCTTTATTTTTATTTTTGGAAGGTGCCAGGAAAGCAAGATAAAATGCATGTGTTACACTGATGATATTTAACGGAAGGTTTTATCTAAGATTGTCATAATCAAACTCCTGCTAATAGTTGCAGGAGCACTGTGTGTTCTGTTATCAGTCTGCAGCCTGTCAGTGACTGCCACCCAACCAAAACGAAATATTGATAGTTGATGATATTTAACGGAAGGTTTTATCTAAGATTGTCATAATCAAACTCCTGCTAATAGTTGCAGGAGCACTGTGTGTTCTGTTATCAGTCTGCAGCCTGTCAGCGACTCTGCCACCCAACCAAAACGAAAAATTGATAGTTTTCTGAACACATCGGGAAGCTTCAGGCTTTCATGGCTTAGCTTTCTTTGTGTTTTAAACCTCTCCCACCTGCCTGCCTAGCAAGTTATTCATCTGTCAAAAACGAATTCAAATTTCACCTTCTCCAAGCTTTTCGGACTCCCCTCCTTCTCACAGAGCTGACTCCTCCAGTGTACAGGATATTCCCTGTACTTCCTTGCTTTGAGACCTATCTGCCCCATCAGGGTGTGTTTCACATCAGCCACATTTAACTTCACGCGGCCTGTTGTGTGAGGTTCAGGGTTCAATACGTAAGTAAAACTATGTTAAAGGAATGAAGAAAGATGGGAACGAAGAACTATGGCATTGAAGAAGTAAAGGGGGCTGGCTGCACACGTTTCAGTTTTTAGGGGCTCCCAAGTTTTCCACAGGTGCAGATGACAGAATTTGCCAAAGGGAGCAGAACGAGCAAAGGCCCCATGAAAACTGACTATCCTGGGGAAACAGCAAACCATGCCGTTGGGATGCACTGGAAAGACAAATCTGTAGAGCCGTGCGCAGCGCGTTGTCCTGCAGCTAACGGGAAGGGAGTGCAAGGTTTTAGGGTGTGAGAGAGATCATGAATCCAAGGGTTTCAGCACGGTTACCCTTGGCTGAGGATGGAGAGTGGGTGCGAGGGACAGGAGAGGAAGCTGCAGACAGGGATCGTGGAGGTGCGGGGAGAGGGCCCGCGCGGTCCCGGGTGGCGAGTGGGTGGAGAAGACGCTCAGGCGGAAGGATGCACAGCGTCGGTGACAGACGGCCCTGCGGGATCCGGAAGAGGAACTTCCAGTCGGTATACACCCGAGATCGAAGGGGAACCACAGCTCCAGACCGCGGAGGTGGAGTGGGGCTACCTTGTCCCTTGCGCGACGCCATCCACGCAGCCCCGCGGTTCAGTCGCGAGCTGTCGCCGCGCTGCGGTTCCGGTTCCGGTTCCGGCTGGAGTCCGCACCTGCGGCGACGGTGAGCAGCCATGGCATACTC